CCTGCATGTTCACACTTGTCCCGCTGTGAGACGCTCCCTGTGGCAGCCTGTGACAACACATGTAAAGTGAAAAGGATTCGAGCCCCAGGAGAGGAGCAATGAATAATACAAAAGCTTCGCTCGAGGCATCCTCAACAAATTCTGCGAAAGACGCGTTTCACTCGAGACACTTGCAACAAACGAAAATGTTAACTTCACCCTGTGTTTCATCAGTCGGAATTTCGAATACCAGTGTTCCGCTCGGGACATCCTCAAAACACGATTCGCTGCCCATGCGCGACCTCACTATTTACAACGAAATTAACGCGCCGACCTTACGCAAATTAAAGCCCCGCGCAATGGAACGCTACTAACATGATCGACCCACGAACCCGGAAAGGAATGTAGAAATATGAGGCATGGCAACGCTTCAAAAACACCTGAGTGGACGACGGGCAACTGCAACGCTGAATGTATCGATCTTGATGTACCCTGCCGATGGCTGTGCTGTGCTGCGCCGTGCTGAATTGCGATGTGCCATGCCGCGATTGTGCTCTGTAGCGTTGTGGATCGGGTCCTCCTTTGTATCCGAGTCCTGACCGAACTGGTATGGATCTTAAGCTCGAGCTGCCTGAACACATAGTAGCTGTCCCACAGCTGCATTGAGAAGGGGACATGCTAGGAGGACGCGCCGCGAAAAGTTCCAAAGGGCCGCGCCAGGCGACGTACCAAGGGACGTGCCATGGGGACGCACCGCGGGACGTGCCAAGGGGACGCGTTACGTAACGTGCCAATGGACGTGCCAGGGGACGTGCCAGGGGGCGCGCCACGCGACGTGCCAGGGGGACTCGCCACGGGACGCGCCACGGAACGTGCCAAGGAACGTGCCAGGTTGCAATGCTGAATGTATCGATCTTGATGTACCCTGCCGAGGGCTGTGCTGTGCTGCACCGTGCTGAATTTCAATGTGCCATGCCGCGATTGTGCTCTACAGCGTCGTGGATGGAGTCCTCCTTTGTATCGAGTCCTGACCGAACTGATCTGGATCTTAAGCTCGAGCTGCCTGAACACATAGTAGCTGCCCCGCAGCTAATTGACACAAGGACATGCCAGGAGGACGCGCCGCGAAAAGTTCCAAAGGGCCGCGCCAGGCGACGTCCCAGGGGACGTGCCATGGGGTTGCACCGCGGGACGTGCCAAGGGGACGCGCTACAGAACGTGCCAATGGACGTGCCACAGGATGTGCCAGGGGGACGCGCCACGCGACGTGCCAGGGGAGCTCGCCAAGGGACGCCCCACGGAACGTGCCAAGGAACGTGCCAAATTGCAACGCTGAATGTATCGATCTTGATGTATCCTGTCGATGGCTGTGCTGTGCTGCGCCGTGCTGAACTGCGATGTGCCATGCCGCGATTGTGCTCTGTAGCGTTGTGGATCGGGTCCTCCTTTATATCCGAGTCCTGACCGAACTGATATGGATCTTAAGCTCGAGCTGTCTGAACACATAGTAGCTGCCCCAGAGCTCATTGACAAGGGGACATGCTAGGAGGACGCGTCGCGGAAAGTTCCAAGGGACGCGCCAGGCGACATGCCAAGGGACGTGCCATGGGGACGCACCGCGGGACGTGCCAAAGGGGACGCGTTACGTAACGTGCCAATGGACGTGCCACGGGACGTGCCAGGGGGCGCGCCGCGCGACGTGCCAGGGGGACGAGCCACGGAGCGTGCCAAGGAACGTGCCAAGTTACAATGCTGAGTGTATCGATCTTGGTGTCCCGTGCCGAAGTCTGTGCTGTGCTGCACCGTGCTGAATTTCAATGTGCCATGCCGCGATTGTGCTCTACAACGTTGTGGATCGAGTCCTCCTTGCATCCGAGTCTTGACCGAACTGCTTTGGATCTTAAGCTCGAGCTGCCTGAACACATAGTAGCTGCCCCAGAGCTAATTGACAAGGAGACATGTCAGGAGGACGCGCCGCGGAACGTTCCAAAGGGTCGCACCAAGCGACGTGCCAGGGGACGTGCCATGGGGTTGCACCGCGGGACGTGCCAAAGGGACGCGCTACGGAACGTGCCAATGGATGTGCCACGGGATGTGCCAGGGGACGCGCCACGCGACGTGCCAGGGGGACTCGCCAAGGGACGCCCCACGGAACGTGCCAAGGAACGTGCTAAGTTACAATACTGAATGTATCGATCTTGATGTACCGTGCCGAAATCTGTGCTGTGCTGCGCCGTGCTGAATTGCGATGTGCCATGCCGCGATTGTGCTCTATAGCGTTGTGGATCGAATCCTCCTTCGTATCCGAGTCCTGGCCGAACTGATTTGGATCTTAAGCTGGCTGAACACATAGTAGCTGCCCCAGAGCTCATTGACAAGGGGACATGCTAGGAGGACGCGCCGCGGAACGTTCCAAGGAACGCGCCAGGCGACGTGCCAGGGGACGTGCCATGGGGACGCACCGCGGGACGTGCCAAAGGGACGCGTTACGTAACGTGCCAATGGACGTGCCACGGGACGTGCCAAGGGACGCGCCACGCGACGTGCCAAGGGGGACTCGCCACGGGACGCGCCACGGAACGTGCCAAGGAACGCGCTAGGTTTCAATGCCGAGTGCATCGATCTTGATGTACCCTGCCGAGGGCTGTGCTGTGCTGAATTTCAATGTGCCATGCCGCGATTGTGCTCTATAGCGTCGTGGATCGAGTCCCCCTCTGCATCCGAGTCCTGACCGAACTGATCTGGATCGTAAGCTCGAGCTGCCTGAACACATAGTAGCTGCCCCGCAGCTAATTGACAAGGGGACATGCCAGGAGGACGCGCCGCGAAAAGTTCCAAGGGACGCGCCAGCTGACGTGCCAGGGGACGTCCCATGGGGTTGCACCGCGGGATGCCAAGGGGACGCGCTACGGAACATGCCAATGGATGTGCCACGGTATGTGCAAGAGGACGCGCCACGCGACGTGCCAAGGGGGCTCGCCAAGGGAAGCCCCACGGAACTTGCCAAAGATCGTGCCAAATAGCAATGCTGCGTGTATCGATCTTGATGTACCGTGCCGCAGCCTGTGCTGTGCTGCGCCGTGCTAAATTTCAATGTGCCATGCCGCGATTGTGCTCTATAGCGTTGTGGATCGAGTCCTCCTTGCATCCGAGTCTTGACCGAACTGATTTGGATCTTAAGCTCGAGCTGCCTGAACACATAGTAGCTGCCCCAGAGCTAATTGACAAGGGGACATGCCAGGAGGACGCGCCGCGAAAAATTCCAAGGGACGCGCCAAACGACGTGCCGGGGGACGTGCCATGAGGACACACCGCGGGACGTGCCAAGGTGACGCGCTACGGAACGTGCTGGGGACAAGCGTTTCGCTCGAGACATCCTGTCAACATCCTCATGCTAGACATCCGCCTGAGCGACCTGGACACGTGAAAACAAGCGTTTCGCTCAACACATCCTCAACACAGTCTCACGCTAGACATCAACCTCGGCGAATTGGACACGTCAAAACAAGTGGTTCACTCGAGACATCATCCTCAACACATCTTCATGTGAGACGTCCGCCTGGGTGACCTGGGCACATGAAAACAAGCGTTTCGCTCGAGACCTGTTCAACACCTCCTCATACTAGACATCCGCCTGGGCGACCTGTACACGTGAAATCAAACGTCTCGCTCGAGACATCCTCAACACATCCTCATGTTAGACATCCGCCTGTGCGAGCTGGACACGTGAAAAAAAACCATATCTCTCGAGACATTCTCAACACATCCTCATGCTAGGCATCCGCCTGGGCAACCTGGACACGTGCAAGCAAGCATCTGGATCGAGACGTCCTCAACACATCCTCATGCTAGACATCCGCCTGGGCGACGAGGACGCGTGAAACCAAGCGTCTCGCTCGAGACATCCTCAAGACCTGGGCACGTGAAAACAAGCATTTCACTTGAGAGAACCTCTGAATTCTGGTCCCCAGGATAGGACAATCTATACACACAAAACAAACGTTTCGCTGGAGACATCCTGAACACATTCTGAGAAACAAGCGTTTCGCTCGAGATATCCTTACAAATAAAAGCGCTGGCCCTGGGCGACATCGCTATCTATCGCGAAATCATTCCGCCAACCCTACAGCCGTCGAAACCGGGGGTAAACCAACTAAAAAAGAACCCTGGGCCCGCGCCCTTTCAGGGAAAGTATAACCCTGGCCGTATGTCCTTTCCGAAAAAATCCAGCATCACGAAAAACGACCAGAACCCCAGACCCAGTCTTTCTGCCCATCTTCCGAGCCAGATCGATCTGTGATGGTCCAGGGGCCCCGAACTTGTGATGCACTTCCTAAAGGGACGCCGGCGAATGGAACTTCTGAGATCGCGGCGTTGCCTTTGAGACTTCGGAAGGCGAGTGAAAGCGCCCCGCGACGTCCTTGCGGGCGAAGCCGAGCGGACTTGGGACATCGGCATCGCCTGTCTCAAGAGTCCCTCTCCCTGGGGTCCCTGTTGGAACCACGTTAACTTGGCAGAAACACCCGGCTTTCTTCAGTCCCCTCCGCCTCCTCCGCCCCGTCCTGGAGCTGGCGGCCCTGCGTAAGCTGAGGGCCGGGGACAAATTTCCATCCTAAGAGAGAACCCTGGGACGGAGCCCATTCCATGGAAATCGCGACCAACACCCCAGACCCTATCCTTCCGCCCATCTTCCGAGTCAGATCGATCTGTGATGGTCAGGGGGCCCGAAACTTGGCGTAAACGCCTGGCGTCCTCTGGACGTCGTCGTCGTCGTCGCCGTCCTCGCACTCAACCTCGGCGTGTCGTCGTTGCCGTCCTAGTCGTAATCGTCTTCGCCGTCCTCGTCGTCGTCGTCGTCGTCGTCGGCGTCGTCGTCGTCGTCGCCTTCGTCCTCGGCGTCGCCGTCCTCGTCCTCGTCCTCGGCGTCGTCGTCGCCGTCCTCGTCGGCGTCTCCTCGTCCTCGTCGTTGTCGTCGCCGTCCTCGTAGTCGTCGTCCCCTCCTGGAGCTGGCGGGCGGCAGGGGCCTTCGCGCCGTTGCCGCTCCCCGCCCGCGCCGCGGCCCGCAGCCGCGTCCGAGGCAGGGTCCAGCGGCCGCAGCCCCCAGATGTTGTGGGCGTAACGGCTGGGGACCTGGGGATCAGCCAAGACGAAGCCAGGACGGGCAAGGACAAACTCCGACAGGGTCGGGATCCACTCAAGGGGGGGTGACCTTGAGGGGGGCATGAGTCAGATCCGTTGGTGCACCGAACTGCCGCGAACAGGTGCCCCCCCTGCATGCCCCACCTGTCGGCAACTATGGGGAGCTGCCTGCGGCTAGGGGGCATCTATTTTGGGCGGCTCGGTTCCAAAAACGATCGAAATAACACACCCCAGGGCACCCCCCCCCTTTGCGGGATCCCGATAGGGGTACGTGGAGAATCTCTCTGAGATCTGGCGGATCTGGAAGATGCCTCGGGCGCCGCGGCATTTTAAGAGAGTTCCAGAACGCTCTAAGAGCGTTCTGGAACGCTCTGGAACGGACATATCCTCGTCCTAGCCCCGTCCGACAAGGCTAGACCTAAACGGTATTTTTCATTATCCGTTGTGCTTTCGTTTTCCATCGATCTGTCTTCGTTCCGCCTCTGCTGCAAAGCGAAACCGAACCGCAAACGGCCCACGAAATCGCCAAAACACCGTTTGGGTCGAGCCCCGGATCAGCAATTCCTGCAGTGCGGACGCGGCCGCATGAGACCCTCGCAAGAAACCCAGCCCGAAGACCCGCGTGAGAGGTGCGACTGGGGGAAGCCCAGGACACCCTGAACGCAACAGCTTCTTCAACGGGCGCTGCAAGTCACCGCGCAGCGCACGGAGCGAAGAAACCATGGACACCCTGACGAACAGCATACGGTTTCTTCATGCGCGCCCCCACTGTACCCATCGGTTGGAAGAAATGGGTAGGAACATGAAGTAGGAAGGCGATGCAATCATATTGGGTTCACACCCGCCCCCTGAAGAGGAGGGAAGAGGGAAAACCGCTCGACTCTTGAAGTAGGAAGGCGCCGAGAGTGGATCGGGATCTGGAAAACCATACATCCCACCAGCCTTCTGGGCGTAGGTGGTCTAGGGCGGCTCCTCCTCTTCCAGCCCCCTTTTGCCCCTTCGAGGAAGGGTCTACCACTGTTCCGTATTAATATACACCCCCTCCCCCCAAGCCCGCCCCCCACCATCCCTGTCAAAAAATAACACAAACCGCACTCTGCCTCCACAGTTGGAGCATGCGCGGCCAACCCGATGCGGCCCCCATCCCCCCATCCCTGTCAAAATCCATGCAAAGTGCACTTTGGGGCAAAGTCTTGAGCACTCGGAGCACGTGGCGCATCTGGCGCACCAGGCGCGCCTGGCACGCTCGGGCCCCAGGGGTACCTGGCGCGCGTGGCGCCCCTGCCACGCGTGGCGCACCTCGCCCAAACGTTGCGCACCTGGGGTTGGCTTTGGTTCCCAGCAGGGCTGAACCTAAACGGTGTTCTTCGTTTTTGTTATGTGTTCGTTTTCCATCTTTTTGTCTCGAGTCCGCCTTTACCGCACAACGAATTCGAAACGAAAACGGCCCACGAAATCGCCAAAAACACACCGTTTAGGTCCAGCCCTGGTTCCCAGTAGCTGCCGTCCAAAGACGACCGCTGAGCATGCTCGGGCTCGAGTGCAACTCATGTGCAGGGAGGGCGGGTGGGAGTGAGCTAGACGGCTTGCGGGCGGGTGCGTGTCTTGACCCGTCCCCTTCCCCTGGACCTACACGGGGCCGCGGCGAGGCAGCCCAAACCATTGGTTTTTGATGTAAGGTTTTGGCTGCATTTTGGCCTCTTGGGGGGGCAACCCTAACATAAGCCCCCCTCTTCTTTGATCGATTTCTGCCAAGATGGCCCCAAGCAAAGCCCAACGAGGAGGAGGAGGAGGAGGAGGAGGAGGAGGAGGGGCCAGGCTGGAGTGGCAGTTCAGAGGACGGCACGGTGACGGACCGCGTGGTGATCTCGGGATCCCCAACGCCTCCACCGCGCGGTCCGGTACCGCACACGTTTTGGGGACTTTGGAGGCCTTGATCGCCCGAGGCGTCCTCGGAAAACGGCCCGAGTCCCAAAACCGCGCGGTGGCCACGAGGCCGCACTGGCTCACCGCACGGCGTGGTCGCCGCGCCGTTTGGGGGCCTCCCGACTCCTGGCCCCCCCCCCCCTCCGGGTAACCTTGGTCACCCAACCTCAGGTCGGGCACGTCCTCCTCGAGGCGAGTTTTGGACGAAAAATAAGAGATGGTCAACACATAAAAAATAATTATCCCGGCAAAGCAACCTAACAGCGATGTGTATAAGAATATCTGGAAGCATTCCCCTTAAGATTCAGCTGAGAATCCAGTTGTAGAATTCTGCTGTTCTCGCAGTCGCAGTCGCATTCGCAATTCAGCATCACCTTGTCTCAGCTTCGGCCTGCCTCGGCCTCATCCTCAGCCTCAGCCTCAGTCTCAGCCTCAGCCTGTCTCGGTCTGAGCCAGCCTCGGCCTCAGCCTCAGCCTGCCTCAGCCTCAGCCTGCCTCAGCCTCAGCCTCAGCCTCAGCCTGCCTCAGCCTCAGCCTGTCTCAGCCTCAGCCTGCCTCAGCATCAGCCTCAGCCTCAGCCTCAGCCTGCCTCGGCTTGCCTCGGCCTCAGCCTCAGCCTCAGCCTCAGTGCCTCAGCCCTCAGCCTCAGCCTGCCTCAGCATCAGCCTCAGCCTCAGCCTCAGCCTGCCTCGGCTTGCCTCGGCCTCAGCCTGCCACGGCTTCAGCCTCAGCCTCAGCCTGCCTCAGTTTCAGCCTCAGCCTCAGCCTCAGCCTGCATCAGCCTCAGCCTCAGCCTGCCTCAACCGCAGCTTGCCTCAGCCTCAGCCACAGCCACAGCCTCAGCCTGCCTCAGCTTCAGCCTCAGCCTCAGCCTCAGCCTGCCTCGGCTTGCCTCAGCCTCAGCCTCAGCCTGCCTCGGCCTCAGCCTCAACCTGCCTCAGCCTCAGCGTCAGCCTCTCAGCCTCAGCCTGCATCAGCTTCCGCCTCAGCCTCAGCCTGCCTCAGCCTCAGTCTCAGCCTGCCTCAGCCTCAGCCTGCCTCAGCCTCAGCCTCAGCCTGCCTCGGCCTCAGCCTGCGTCAGCCTCAGCCTCAGCCTGCCTCAGCGTCAGCCTGAGCCTGCCTCGGCGTGCTTCAGCCTCAGCCTCAGCCTGTCTCGGCCTCAGCCTGCCTCGGTCTCAGCCTGCTTCAGCTCGGGCATTCAAAATAGGGCACAGGACTGGTGTTCTGGGAACACGAAGATCACGAAGTGGCCCACAGTTGGCTCCGGGCAGTCAAAATATGGTACAGGAATGGTGTTCTGAGAACACGAAGAACACGAAATGGCCTACAGTTGGCTCCGGGCATTCAAAATCTGGCCTGGGAATTGTGTTTTGGGAACACGAAGGACACGAAGTGGCCTACAGTTGGCTCCGGGCATTAAAATGTAGCCTGGGAGTGGCGTTCTGGGAACACGAAGATCACGAAGTGGCCCACAGTTGGCTCCGGGCAATCAAAATATGGTACAGGAATTGTGTTTTGAGAACACGGAGAACACGAAGTGGCCTACAGTTGGCTCCGAGCATTCAAAATGTGGCCTGGGAATGGCGTTTTGGGAACAGAATCTGTAGGAATCCATAGGAAACTATGGGAATCTAAAAAAGTCCTGGGGAGTCCCCGGATCCCGGGGATTCTCCCAGCATCCGCCCAGACCCCCTCTGGGGAGTCAAGATGCTCTCTTTTCACCCCGCTAGAACCCTATCAGTTTTCGCTGTTAGGTAATCATCAACTATTTTCTTTCCTGTCACAAAAACCGTCCCCAAACTATTGTTGTGCTATTTTTGAGCATTCCCCCTGTAGAAGGACGTGCCCGAAGAACTTTGCGCACTGCGCCCCGCGAGGCGCGGGGCTCTTCGCGCCCTCGCGCCGCAGCCCTGGAGGAGGCCGCCTCTCCAACCCAAGCCGCGATGCGCGAAATGCGCCCCCCCGGGGGGGGGCGCTAGGTCCAGAACATCCAAAGTTCGCTAGGGACTCGTCTCCGTCCCAAACAGCCGAAACCCTCCCCAAACCCTCCGAGAACCCTCCCGGGACGGTTCCGGCAGGCTTTCCGGAGGGTTCCGGGAGGGTCTTGGGAGGCTTGTCGTCGTTTGGGGGGGCAAACCATTCCACAACGAACCTGTCTAAGCCCATGTAGCGCCTGTCATCGCCATGGGATGAAACAGTGTATTTCGCCCCCTTCGCGGACCAGGATCGGCACGCAGAAGGGCGCCCCGCTGGGGCTGTGCTGCAGCGCCGAGGAGCCCATGGCGTGCGCCCGAGCGCCTCGGGCCCCGGTGCAGCTGGACGCGTGACCTGTTGGGAGGGGGGGAGGGCGACGAGGAAGAGGAGCAGGAGGAGGAGGAGGAGGAGGAGAAGAAGGAGGAGGAGGGGGAGGAACAGGAGCAGGAGTTGGAAAAGGAGGAGGAGGAAGAGAAGGAGGAGGAAGATGAGGAGGAGGAGGAGGAGGAGGAGGACAAAACGCGGGGCGATGCCTCTTCAAAGCGCGGGGGGGGATGGAGGAGGAAGAGGAAGGAAGAGGAGGAGGAAGCGGAACATGATGATGATGATGATGATGATGATGATGATGATGGTGATGATGATGATGATGATGATGGTGAGGAGGAGGAGGACGACGAAGAGGAGAAAGAGGAGGAGGTAGAGGAGGAGGAGGAGGAGGAGGAGGAGGAGGAGGAGGACGAGGCGGGGAGAAAGGGGAGGGAACAACAGTTCCCCCTTGCCTGGTGGGCGGAGCGCGCCTGGGACGGCGCTGGAGGGAGCAACGGCTCCCAAACAAACTCCCCTGCCTGGTGGGCGGAACGCGCCTGGGACGGCGCTGTCTCAGAGCTGCCTCCTCTCGCCGTCACCTCCTCCTTGACGTACTCTGCGTCGACGGCTTCGACCTCATCTGGACCGCGCCAGGTCAGGGCAGCGCCTGGCTTGCCGTCCAAGCAGACCTGCACGTCGTAGCCCGTCTTGCTGCATTTCACGTAGCCGCGCATAGTCGCGAATGAAGACGAACGCGCAGTGCGTCCAAGCCGCGCGTAGGGCCCAAGAGACGAGGCTGATCATGGAGCCGAAGAGGGCGATCACTCCCGCTGCAGCCACGCTCAGGGCGAGCCTTTGGAGCCGCGCCCAGTAGCGGCCACAAATGTACTCACCCATGGCCTTCACCGTTCACCATACCCATGAGGAAAGCGATCGCCTGGTGGAGCATAGCACCCAGCGAGTGCTCGACCTTCTCGCCCAGCCACTTGAGCGCCGCCTCGAACCATGCGCAGCCGCCTCCTCCAGCTGCTGCGTGTCTGCGGGCAGCGCGGGGTTGACTGGCTGGCCTTCCGCGGCCTTCTCTGCGCAGCTCGCGCCGTAGCAGAAGTGCGCCTCGAAATCGGTGCGACTCTAGTGCGCCTCCTCCGCGCTGGCGTCGCTCGCGGCGCCTGGCTCCTCCCGCGCGTGGCCTTCGCTCGGCCTGGGCACATAGCTGGCGGAAGCTGACAAGGCAGCCGACAGCCCAACGCCCAGGGAAACACCTAGCCACCCGAGCGTGGCCACAAGCGTTGTGGAGATGATGCGCTCCAGGGAAACGTGCCGCATCGCTGGCACCTCCCTGCTGCCCAGCCTCCTTCAGGCCGCGGGCGCCCTGCCGAGGCGTCCGCCGCAGGCCGCGGGGCTCCCCTCTGGAGCCACCGCCCGCAGTGGAGGGGGGAACTGGCCCAGCCCCTACCCAGCACTCCTCAGACTGCCTGGCTGCGCCGCAGGCTGGGCCAGCGAGATATGGCCCCGCCCGCCCACCCCTCAAAAAGATAACTGGCCTCGCTAAGGGCCTTGAGCAGAGTACGGAAAGGGGAGCAGGGGAGAGGCTACGACAGATGAGAAAACCCTCTGTTCTCACGAACGTCCAAAGAAGGAGGAGGAGGAGGAGGAGCAGGACGAGGAGGAGGAGGACGAGGGGGAGGAGGAGGAGGAGGAGGAGGAGGAGGAGGAGGAGGAGGAGGAGGAGGAGGAGGAGGAGGAGGAGGAGGAGGAGGAGGAGGAGGAGGAGGGGTGGAGGAGGGGAGGGGTCGAATCTGAGAAAACTAGAAGGGGATGCAACGTAAGTGAGGCGTCGCGGGGGCCTCGGCCCCGAGCCGTAGCGCGAGTCCAGGCCCGGCCACCTGGTGGCCCCAAACCCGCCTCTCATGGAGCACGCGTCGGTCGGAACAAGCGGGTAGAAGCATGCAACAGAAACCTTCCACAAGAAACCCAACCTTGAGACCACAGGAGGTCCATTGATTCTTGGTGTGGGAACGTCACGCTTTCCACAGCAAAACCCTCGAAACGCAAGAAACCCAGGGCACCCTGGAGGCAAGCAGGGTGTTTCTTGGCATGGGCCGACCCTTGAAGTAGTAAAGGCGCCCAAAGCAGACCGGGATCTACTCTCGACGACCGGCGCGTGCGCCCGCTCCGGGATGCGCTCGTCGGCGGCGCGCCCAGGGGGGGGGAGTGAGACGGGGCCAGCCTTCTCAGCAAGCGGCGGGGCTGCGCAGAGGGGAGGAAGGGGAGGAGGAGGAGGAGGAGGAGGAGGAGGAGGAGGAGGAGGAGGAGGAGGAGGAGGAGGAGGAGGAGGAGGAGGAGGAGGAGGAGGAGTGAGAGGGGGCAGGCCTTCTCAGCAGGCGACGGGGCTTCTCAGAAGGCCCCGCCCCCTCCGAGAAGCTGCTGGCCCACAAGGCTTCTCAAAAGGCTCGAGGGCTTCTGAGAAGCCCCGCCCTCCGAGAGGGCCAGCCCCCGCTCTCTTCCCGCCATGTAGCCGTGGGTACAGTAGGGGCTCGACCACAAGAAACCTTACACAAGAAACCTTCCACAAGAAACCTAACTGTGAGACCCCAGGAAGTCCACTGATCCTTTGGAGTGGGGAAGTCACGCTTCCAGCAGCAGAACCCTCGGAGCCCAAGAAACCCAGGGCACCCTATAGGGGCAAGCAGGGTGCTTCGAATGGATGAAAAGGAAATTGGGCCCAACCCTGAGATATACGAGGGGGGGCTCCATCCTCGACAGCGCGTTCGAAGGGCCCCCGCGGGATATTTCGAATGGATAAAAAGAAAATTGGGCCCAACCCTGAGATATTACGAGGGGGGGCTCCATCCTCGACAGTGCGTTCGAAGGGCCCCCGCGGGATATCCCAGGGTTCCCCTCCTTGTCTGAGCAGCTTCATTTTTCGTCGAATCATCTGTCGGGTCGGGCGAAAGGGGGGGATAGCAAAGGGGGGGTTTGAGAATCAGCTCACGTAGCTGATTTTCCCGGCGCCTCCCGGCGCCGGGAGCGGCCATGTATCGAGGAATTGGGCCCTCGGTGAGGCCGAAACCAGCTGCATGCAGCTGATTTCGTAACCCCCCCCTTTCCCAATCCCCCCCTTTCGCCCGGCCCGAATCTGGGGCGGGGGGGAACAGTCGCCTGCGACACTGGGTTCGCCGCCGGGTTCGCCCCTCCTGCCGACCGTCGACCGACTCCGGCTCCAAGGAAGTCGCGCACACGCCCTTGCCGAAGGCGCCCTTGCCGGAGGAAGGCCAGCTGAGACAGCTTGCCATCGCTCGGACGTCCACTACCTGTGCAATTTTCGGACTCGCGCGTGCTTCATGTCCCTCATGATCCAGGATGCTCCGCGGTGGCCCTCGCCGAAAAAGCTGCCCACGTCCGAGCGATGCCAAGACAACGGCGGCTTTCCCGCCCGGTCCACATCCGCTCAAGATCTGTCCCCGGACGTCTCCCGGGGTCCATCCTGACCCGTGCTTCGAGGCGGGTCCAGCCATGCCGACGAGCATGGGGAAACCAAGACGTACCGATGCCGCTACTCCCCGGGCCTCTCCCAGTGTGCGCACTGATCAGGATGTCCGGGCGGATCCAGCAGTGGCGACGGGGGCCTCCCGGGAGGCCCCCCCAAAAAATGGATCACGAGTGGTCGGTGGTAGCGGCACGGGCGCCCTGTCCTCCTCTGAGAGCAGCCTCGATGAGGCCCGGACTTGGCCGCAGAGTTGGGCGTCGCTTCACGGGGGGTGTCGCTAAAAAAAAGGGAGGGGAGCAAGGTTGAAGGGGCCCCAGGACACACAAATAAATACACACAAATAAAATGATTCCCCATATTTTTCCATATTTGCTGGGTTTCTGTCTTCCCCCCCACTTCCCATATTTTCCCATATATTCTGGGGAATCGAGGATTAATTGTGTCTGTGTGTTTCTTTTCCTCCTGAAAGGTGCACTCCTCGGGCCCTCAAGGCCCCCTCCTGGCCCCTTCTGGGGCCCTTTGAAGGGCCCCTTTCCTGCAGCCCTCGCTGCCCCCACATTTCTGAACTCCCCTATGCAGCTCAGGTCGGGCATGTTCTCCCATGGGCGGATTTTGGACGAAGCCTGGAACATAACATGCACAAGCGTAGCCAAACATAGCAACAACAACAACAACAACAACAACAACAACAACAGCAACAAAAATATCTGCCCCCCTTTGTGAAGGCCCAAACGCACCCCCAAGGACGACAGGCCCCCAGTGCGATGCCGCAGCGGCCACGCTCCCCGCCACGGCGAGCGCCAAAACGCAGCCGCCGGGCGCCCCGAGGCCCCCTCTCCAGGGCACGTCTGTGCTGGGCCACGCGTGGCATCCCTTGACCACTGATCAACAAGCGCGTTCCACTGATGGGCCCCTTTTCCACCACCACTACCATAGGTAGGAGAGGGAGGAGGAGGAGGAGGAGGACTTTCTCGTCCTCCCCTCTTCCCCGTTCTACGCATGGTAGCGATGGTGGAAAGTTGCCCATCATCCACTGCTCGCAACAGTAGCTCCTCGCATATGGCCTGGATCCGCCGCGGGGGATCTACGATCCAACACGTCGAGGCAACTGCGTGGTGTTTTTCTGTCGGCCGTCTGCGAGTAGGCACTTTGCGATCAGCGGAACGCGCTCGGTGAATCAAGCACACGCCCAAGCCGCAGAGGGCAGCGCGGGGCCGGGGCAAGGGGAAGCGAGGGGCACTCCTCGGGCCCTTGAAGGCCCCCATCCTGGGCCCGAGAGGGCCCCTTTCGGGGCCCTGCAGGGCCCATTTCCTGCAGCCCTCGCTGTCCCCCCATTTTTTCGTCCCCCCATGAATAGAACAAGAAAAACTCCATAACCATAACTTTTGGCGCTGCGCGCGGGTTTCTTAGGTCTGCGCTGGACCCCGGGCTGCGCCGGAGGCGCCGCTGGGGGGGGCCCAGCGCGGATCCGAAACATCCGCGGGGAATGCCAAAAGTGTATGTGAATATCGCTTCTTCTTGAGCCTGATTTTGGTTAGACCCAGGCAAGTTTACTTGCATGGTGTTTGCCCCCCCTCACCCCACCCCACCCTGCCCCACCCCACCCCCCTCGCCCCTCTTCCATCGAATACGATCGTGCCAGTGCCTTTCGACTTGCGTGATTTCCGCACGTCGAGACGTAGAGTTGTTTTCGGCCTGCTGCGGGCTCAGGCCCCCCCCCGTCCATGCACGTGAATTTGCCCGAACTCACAAAAAAATACGCTCTTCTTCCTCTTCTTCGAAAAAAGCGCGCAACGCCCAAGCCGCCGAGGGCAGGAACGGTCGGGCGTTGGCAGAACTGGGTTTAGTGGGACCTGGTTGAATGATGTGTACTGGGGGGCGACGCCCCCCCCGCCCCACTCCACTGACCGGAACTGCCGTCACCCGAAAAAACACCAGCTACGGCAGACCTGGTTTAGTGACTACTCTGGCTAATTTAGGGGTTCCGGGGCCCTACCACTAACCGGGTCCCCTTATAAAACAAGGCTAGGATCGGGATAAATCGCTCCAGAGCGTCCCGGAGCGCTCTCAGAACGTTCCGGAACGCTCTGGAGCGGCCGCGGCGCCCAATACATCCTCCAGACCCGCCGATTCTCAGAGATTTCGAGCTATCCCGATCCGATTTTGTCCCGATCTTCGCGTCGTTTTACTACCACTAACCGGGCCCCCTTACCTGGGGTCCTGGCTACATCCGAAGCGGGGTCGAGGCAGGGCCGCCGCGGCTTCGGCCGGCCGCCTCCTCCGGGCCTCGGGGTCCGCCAGCGCCGCCAGCAGCTCCAGCTCGGGCCTGGCGCGGTCGGCCGCGCCGGCGAGCCCGGCGTCGTCGGTGTAGTGGACGGTCGGGCGGGCGGTGATCGGCGAACGAGCAGCACGCACCCATACCCCTAGCGAGGTCGGAGCTCCTCCTCCTCCTCCTCCTCCTCCTGTTTTGCTCCTCCTCTTTCTAGTCCTCCTCCTCCTCCTCCTCCTCCTCCTCCTCCTCCTCCTCCTGGTACTGCTCCTGGTACTCCTTCTCCTCCTCCTCCACTTCATCCCCCTCCTCCTCCGACTGGCTACGGGCATGAGACGCACAAAGACATAATAGTATGATGTGTCCTCCTTGGAGGCGCGCGTCCAACCCGAACATATAGTATACCCATGTTGTAATATTTATATATGTATATATATATATACAAGGTTGCATTGGCGCTGCGCGCCATGCACCTTGGTCGTCTGAGTTTCGCACGCACGCGGGGTGCGTGCGTGCGTACATGCGCGCATGCATGTATACACGCGCACGCGCATGCACGCTATGCACATATATCGATGTGCATACCACACGTGTATATTGTTGTATACGTGTATACATAATACATATAAGCATGTGCATGTATATGTATATGTCAATCGCAGGTGTTTGTTGGTGCACGCACCTGTATGTAATTATGGGTGCGCACACACATGCGTATCTTAGGCGGTAATGGCCTGACCGCCTGCTCAGGGCATCTCGCAACTCAGAGGTGCGAGGGTCTCAGGCGGAAGTAGCCAGACTACTACGGGGTAGCGCATCTCCGATGTCAGCGTTGCGAGAATATTTCAAGCGAAAATGAACTGACCACCTCAACTGAGGACATACCCGAACCCGGAATTTCGAGGATGTCTCAAACGAACATGGCCTGAACACCTCAGCTCAGGGCATCCCTGAACCCAAAGTTGCGAGAATGTCTCAGGTGAAAGTGGCGGACTACTCTGCGGCAGGGCATCTCGGAATTGTTTCTAGCGAAACGGCCGGAACACCTCAGCTCAGGGAGCCCCGGAACCCAGAATTGCGAGAAGGTCTCGAGCGGAAGTGGTCGGACAACCTTGGGGCAGGGCTTCTCTGGGGTCAGAGTTGCGAGGATGTCTCAGCCGACAGTGGGAAGGAGGAAGGCGAAGGGATGAGAGGAGTCCCGCGGACCCGAGGACAGGCAGGCACGAACGCTCAGGATCGGAAGTCATGGCATGGAGGCTGGAACTGACGCGGATGCAAGACGCTGGGAGCTGGCCTTCGAGAGCGTTGACAGACAGGAGGACCTGAAAGGGACTCAACGACGGGCGCCGCCAGAACCTTTGGGAAAAATCTGGAGGCCTTGTGAACGTGTCGGAGTGCTTCGTGTCTGATTGCTACGGGGCAAGGCGTATCCGAGGTTGACGTTGCGAGGATGTCTCATGCGAAAATGGCCCGAGCACTATGGGGCAGGGCATCTCCGAAGTCAGCTGCGCGAGGGAGTCTCAAGCGAAGAGTGGTCTGAACACCTCAGGCCGGAAGGTCGAAAAACCCCCTTACAAGAGCGTCCGAGCAGCCCCCGGGGAGCTTCCCAGCAAGTCGAGCAGCCTGGGAAGGGGCTTCCCAGCAGCCCGGGGAGTCCGAAATGCGTTCGGGGGGGGATGTGTGTGCACATGTGATTTTATTTCGCATATGTATGCATGTTCATGTGTATGTATGTCTGTACGTCTGGATATCAAATTACAACGCCTTCCAACGTCTGAACGTTCCCAGAGCGTTCGACGCTCGTCTCACACGGTAATTTATGGTTAAACGATGTCTACATCCGTGCAACAAGTTCTTTGCAGGGAAATTCCATGTAAACCGCTCTTGGGCCGTCTTGGGCCGTTCGTGGCCCGAAAAAGCGAACACCGACAAAAACTTCGAACATTTTCAGCACATCAATGAATTTTGCCTCTTTGGGCATTCTTGGGGGCCCTTTTGGGCCGTTTTGGGGCTCTCTTGGGCCGTTTTGGGGCCCTTCGGGCCGTCTTGGGGCGTCTTGGAAGCCTTCGGCCGTCTTCGGGCTGTCGTGGGGCCTCTTGGGGCCCTCTTGGGAGCCTCTTGGGGTGCTCCTGAGGCTCTCTTGGGGCCGTCTTGGGGCTCCCTTGGTAGTTTTCGGGCCCTCTTGGGCCGTCTACGGGCCCTCTTGGGCCGTTTTCGAGCCCTTTGGGGGGCCTCTGAGGCCGTGTTGGGACGATCTTTAGAGCCTCTTGGGCCGTCTTGGGCCGTTCTTGTCCCGGAAAAGCGAAAACCGACAACGCCTTCAAAAACCATTGGTCAATGAATGTTGCCTCTTCGGGTCCTCTTGGGAAGCCTCTCGGAGGCCTCTTGGGGCGTTTGGAAACCATGTTGAAGGTTTTGGTGTGCTTTGGAGCTGTCGACGAGCTGTCTTGGGCAATATTGGAGGCCTCTTTGGACCTTACGAGAAGGCCGGAAGGCCGAAGGAACCCTTTGCAAGGGCGTCTGAGCAGCCCCGGGGGGGCTTCAGGCAGCCCGGGGAGTCTGAAATTCGTTAGGTGGGTGGAGGGGGCGCCTTTTCCAGGGTCCCCAGTCCTATATATATATATATATATATATATGGATAGGAATACATGTATATTATATATATGTTATATATATGTTATATTATATTAGATATATCGTTCCCTGAGCGGTGCGGCCAGAGAGCGCCCGCCACGACGCATATTCCATAATACGGCTCGGTGCGCGCGTCGCCCCTGGGGGGGGGGAGGGGAACGCACACGTAGTACTAGAATGTTTGGATGACGCCGAGCACACACACACACACACCCAGACCCATAAGGAGGTCGGAAGGGGGAGGACTGGCTACGGGTATGGGTGCGGGTTGACAGACCCTGTGGGAGGCTCCCGTTCGAGCGGGGACCCCCCATCCGGCAACGCGCATCTATAGCCCCCTCTGTCCCACCTATGGGTATGGGTGCGTGCTGTTCGCTCGTCAGCAATGGGTATAGTGGCCAAAACGGGCTTGAGGGGCCTTTCCTTCACCCCCCAGCTGGGTCATCCCTCGGGAAGATCGAGATGGACACGGGCCAAAAATGGGCACAAAACCGAGAACATTTCCCGTTCATCTTGAACAGGTCTCGCTGTCGGTGTCGCCACAGACGTTGTCCATTTGAGGCAGTAGGCCGCCTGCCCAACAGCAGCCGCTGTCAGTTTTGGACAACATTGTCTGTTGGGCATCGTGCCCATGTTTTACGTACCCCTTCTTGAGCAGGGCCCGACCGTCCCGGCATTCTTATAGGCCTGCCGCGAAATGTTACAAGAACCCCAGAATTCTCTAAGAGCCCAAACAACGTTCTTATATAACATAAGCCCAGCGTGTTGAAACAAGACAATCTCAATCTGAAATGTTCTAAGAACCTTCCGTGCAGACCACCAGGCGAACGTTTGCTAATTCGGCGTTTCGACATTGGGCGAAGGGGGGGGAAACAGGGGGGGGCTGGCTCCGGACCTCTGCTTAGTGCGACTGTTTGCACCAGTGCGTCCCATGGGCGAGACTCCACTCGCTTGAAACAGGTGCCGAAGACCGCCAAAATCTACTCCACGTGGGGGGGCGGGAGAAAGGGTGCGAGGGACCGCGCCGATCGGCAGAACAATGAATAAGAAAATGATCGCCAGATGTTCATAGAACATTGTGCGAGCGAGGACGCTTCGTCACTGCTTGACGTTCGGGCGTCCAGAACCCCCCCGATTACCACCCGCCCGAGCAGAGCACGGCGCACTCCGCCCCCGGCTCGGCGGCACGCCGGAGGTCCAGCGCCTCCGCCCACACCGACAGCCCAGTAGCAGCGTGCTCCAGGACCTCTCGAGGAGGAGCAGGCGGCCAGCCCAGCGATCCGATGTCGTGATTTGTTCGACACATAGAGGGCGGAACATCCACCCCGGTGATAAGCACCCCGCCGACAAGCGAAGCCATTTAGTACACGCGCCCAGGGAAGGAATCGAACAGAACGGGGCTGCTCAGTAAACGCCCAGGGCCGTTTTGTAAACGCCAAGTGTCGGGGCCTGGGTCGTTTTTCCTCTCCCTTGAATAGAAAAACTGCAGAAACATAAACTTGTGGCGCTCCGCGTGGATTTCTTGGACCTGCGCTGGGCCTCCCGCGCGGAGCGTGCCAAGGGCGGCGCCGGAGACGCCGCCAGGGGGGCCCAGCGCGCATCCAAGAAATGCGCACGGAGTGTCGAAAAATTATGTTTAAGAAAACCCAACCCTTTGCCCAGGGCCAGCTTTTCATCCTGAGTCGCTGTTTGACAGTCCTGGGGTCTGGCGAGGGCCAGGACCTCTCGAGGAACAGACGGCCTACACAGAGATCCGGCGTCGTGATGATCTCCATGCACGCCCCCAAGTAACGTGGCGAATCCCTGGCCTAACCTGACCAAGGCCCTGTCGACACTACGCCATAGCTGACCTGACCCATTCTGAGAGCTGACGTGGCCAGAGGCTCGGCGACATTAGGGTGTCACGCGCGCGCTGTAGCAGATGAAGCACCATAGTGGGGCGACACAGCAACATGCAATGCAAACAGTGACGACTATACAGCGGAGGCCAATCCACAAGAAACCTTCCACAAAGAGCTCGACCCTGAGACCCCGAGACGTCCGTGAATTCTTGGTGTGGGAACGTCACGCTTACCACAGGCAGCCCATCGAAACCCAGGAAACCCAGGGCACCCTGGAGGCAAGCAGGGTGCTTCTTGGCACGGGCCTCCACCGCATCACTGATCCCTCTTCGTCTCCCCAGAAGACCCCGGGCCTCCCCCCGGGGTCCGGCTCTGCATCCCGCATCGCCCGTTGACGGTCGAGGCCCAGCGAGAGCCTCCAGAGAGACCGAGACCCGCGAAGAACGTCCGTCTGGATTTCGTTGTCCAGTACGTATTTTTTGAGAAGGCGAAAACCCACCCCCACCCCCAGTCCCGACCCCATTCCCGAACCCTCGATCCGGGGGGCCGGGACTGGGGGTGGGGGTGGGTTTTCAGGGCCCAGGAATGGAGAACACCCACCCCCACCCCCAGTCCCGACCCCCCAGATCGCGG